TGCACCTCGGCCTGGAACTCAGCAGCTGGGACAGGGATGGCCACCTGTTCTCTCTCACCGGCTGGGCCTGAAGCCGCCGCCTCCCTGAGCCGTGTCCCTGGGTGTTCCCTCCCCACCAGGTTAGGGTCCTGTGCCTCGGGCAAGGCACCCTCCCCAGGGCCAGGGCGCCGTGCCCCTTGCCGGCTCTGACTGCGGGTCACAACCAGAGCACCCTGGGGGTTGCTTGGCCAGTCCTCCAGGTCCCCCCCCATCAACACCTCAGTGGGCAAATACGGGTGTACCCCCACGTCCTTGGGGCCCTCCTTGGCCCCCCACTTCAGGTGTACCCTCGCCACAGGCACCTTGAATGGGGTCCCACCCACCCCCATCAGGGTCAGGTAGGTGTTGGGCACCACCTGATCTGGGGCCACCACCTCGGGCCGGGCCAGCATCACCTCTGCGCCCGTATCCCAGTATCCATCGACCTTCCTCCCATCCACCTCCAGGGGAACAAGGTACTCGCTCTACAGGGACCGCCCCGCGCCCACCCTGTAAACCAAAAACCCTGAGTCTGGAGCATCCAGCCCCCCAGAGGAGCTGGCCTGGTGCTCTCCTCCCTCCTTAGCAGGTGGTACACTGCCAGCCCCCCTTGCCTGGGAATGCTGCCTCTCGCCTGGCTGGGTCTCTACCCAGTCAACCCTCGGTGGGTTGGGTCCGCTCAGTCTGTCCCTGAGCCTGAGGCACTGGGCCCGTATGTGGCCTCTTTGGCCACAGTGATAGCAGCCCATGTCCCGTGGGTCCCCTCGAGCGGGTCGGATGGACCTGATGCTGGATGTTCCCCTTTGGTGGGGGTTCTCCGTATTTCCCCGCTGGGAGGTCCCATGGTGACCCTCTCTCTGCGTTGTGGTGGGACTGTTCCTTTGGGACTCCTCCCTGTTATCCCCTGCCCGACTGTTCACAAACTCGTCGGCCAACTGGCCTGCGTGCTGCGGGTTCTCTGGCTTTTGGTCCATCAACCAGCGCCTCAGGTCGGATGGGCACTGCTCATACACGTGCTCCAGTACGAGTAGGTCAAGCAGGTCTTCTTTAGTTTGGGCCCCAGCTGTCCACTTGCAGGCATACCCCTGCGCCCGGTTGGCTAGTTGTAGGTATGTGACCTCACAGGTTTTACGCTGACTCCGGAACCTTTTCCGGTACATCTCAGGGGTCAGCCCAAACTCGCGGAGCAGGGCCTTTTTGAACAGTTCGTAGTCCCCTGTCTCCGCCCCTTTCAGTCGGCTGTACACCTCCCTGGCTGTGCAGTCCAGTGAGGGGATGAGAAACTGGAGCCTGTCTGCAGGGTCAACCTGGAGCAGCTCGCAGGTATTCTCAAAGGCCGTCAGGAAGGTATCCATGTCCTCCCCCTCCTTACGCTGGGCCAAGAAGCACTTATCAAAGCTCTTTGCAGTCTTGGGTCCCCCCTCACTCACCGCAGCCGGGGCCCCACTGCTCCTCAGCCTGGCCAGTTCCAGCTCATGCTGACGTTGGTCCCGCTCATGCTGACGTTGTTTCTCCTTCTCTTCCCGCTCCTGCTTCAGTTCTTGCTGCCTTAACTCGAGCTCGAGCTCTTTCAGTCTCATCTCCCATTCACATTCCAGCCGCATCCGCTCCCAGGACGGGGAGCTCCGCCGGGACGATCCCCTGCTGGCCGCTGGGGTCAGGGTGCCCTCGGTATTCGCTGGGCTTCCCCCAACCCCTCCCCTAGGTATAGGTAGGCAGGGTCTCGGGTTGTCCTCGGCAGCAGTCTGACCCCTCCCAGCCATGTCAGGCCCCGGGGCCCCCGCTGCATCCGCCGGGCGGCTTCCCTCAGGGACAGGATCGGTTCATCCAAGCGACCCTTCTCCTCCAGCTGGGCAATGAGCTGTTCTTTGGTGGACCTCCCAATGCGCAGCCCCCTCTGCCTGCACAGCTCCACCAGGTCGCTCTTAAGGCGTTTAGCATACATCCTCCTGCTGACCACTCGCCGGCCTGTGCTCTCCGCTTTCCACCGTTCCCAGGGGACCCCTAGTGTGCCAGCCCTTCTTCAGGTCACCACCTCTCTGCCTGGGTCGAACTGCAGACTCCTCCGCCCCGGGCCCGCTCGCTGCGATCCCCCGGGGGACCCTGTTACTGCAAAAGTCCTTCTCTCTGGTCACACACTCCCAGGGGTTAATCGCCCCCTGAAACCGTCTCTCTCTGACTCTTCAGCATGCCTGGTCCCCGTCGATCCCCGTTCGTTTTACTGCTCCCCAGTCACTTACTGCAGGAAGCGCCGTCCACGGGGTGCAGTAGATCCCACCGCTACCACCAGTTGTCACAGAGTGTGGGGGGACACAAGGCCCTGCACCCCCGGCTTCCTGCGATTCACTATGACTCAGCCAGCCAGTAAAGCAGAAGGTTTATTTAGACAACAGGAACACAGTCCAAGACAGGTCTTGCAGGCACCGACAACAGGACCCCCTCAGTTAGGTCCATCTTGGGGTCCCAGGGCACTACACCACAGCCCCCTTGGGAGGTCAGAGCCCCGTCTGCCTCCCAGCCATATCACCAGCCAGCCCTGAACTCTCTCTCCAGCCTTTGTTCAGTTTCCCAGGCAAAGGTGTCACCTGGCCTCTCACTCCTTCCTGGGTTCTCATGTTACATGCTCAGGTATCTTCCCTCGGCCAGTCTCCCATCCCCCAATGCAGACTGTCCTAGCCACACTCCCCTGTCAGCATTCAAAGACCACAGTAAGAACAGTCCCAGTTCATCACAGGCGGAGAACAATCCGTGCTCTGTCTCGCTCTGTTAATTCATCGATGTCTTGCCCCGTCCGTCCATCCGTCCCTACACGTCTAATCTTATCTATCCGTCCCCGGACACACCCCAAAATCTGTCTGTCTAGCCACAGTGTTGGGGCTCCCCCTCCCCCGAGTCTCGCTCGTTCCTGGGGTCTCTGACTGTTTGTTCCCCCAGGAGATTGCCGAATATCATAACCTGCTGGACGAGGTCAAAATCAACTCCCAGGGTGAGCCAGAGAGTGGGGGGCTGGGAGGGGGGAGGGGACACCCCCAAACTCAGCCTGATCCCCCCAACTCACTTTGACCGCCCAACCTTCCCCAGCAACCTCCCCCAAATTATCTCCCCCAGATTCACCCCCCAGCCCCCTCCTGACCTTTTCCCTGAACTCTCAGTTTTCCCCAAACTCATCCCCGACCCCCCCCCCCAATCTTTACCACCACCCCAAACTCCTACCCACACCTGATGTCTGTCTGCTCCATTTCTCCCTGTAGTGTTGAGGGCTGATGGGTTTGGAGGGGACCCCTTCTACCAATGTCTCATCGCGGAACTGGCCCCGGAGCAAGAAGACAAGCAAGGTAAGTAAATTCATAGCCCTCGGCAACTCTCACTCCAGTGTCAATCAGGAGTCACTGCGCTGGAGCCAGTAGGTCCGATTCCCCTCTCACTCACTCTGGTGTCAATCAGGAGTCACTCCAGTGGAATCAATGGGGCCAAATTCCCGTCTCATTCACTCCAGGGTCAATGAAGAGTCACTTCATTGGAACCAGCGGTCTGGATCCTGAGCTGGTGTGAATCCAGAGTAGTTCTGACTCTGCGGCTTTATCCCCATCTAAACCAGGAACAAACCCCGTCTCTCACTGGATCCAGACCTGGACCCCAGCTCCTGTGTGGTGGATCCCCCGCCCAAGTCCATCCCTACCCCACAGTGGCTGGCCCCTGTTTGATCCCTCTCTCCCCCACAGGTCACCTAATCGGTTACGCCTTATTCTTCTTCGGCTACAGTGTGAACACTGGCCGCATCGTCTACTTGGAGAATCTATATGTGGTCTCTGAGTCCAGAGGTAGGGGTCCATGCTGCGTCCTTTGGGGAATGAGCCACAGCAGGGGAGAGGATGGGGTGCAGGGGGAACAGGAGGCAAAATCGGCCCCAGTGTGACTCCAGTGGAGTGACTCCTTGTTGACTCCGGAGTGACTCCGGAGTGAAGTGAACAGCGGGAATCAGCCTTGCAGTCAAGAGAGAAGGAAGAGTTTCTGCCGGCGTGTTCCAGGAGCCAGGATGGCTCCAGCCAAGGGTCAAGGCCGCCTGCTCAGGATGATGGCCCCAGAAGGCTCCACCGCCTCTGTTCAGGTCATGGCGATAATCTGGACCGCCGAGTCCGTCAATGGTTAACGAGCCAGGCAACAGGGAGGTGGGAAACAAAGCGGGGCAATGTCATGTCACCCAGTAGGACAGCTGTGAACTCCCCACTGTCAATCAGAAGTCACTCCGCTGGTGTTCACAGGGCCGGTTCACTTCTTACTCACCCTAGTTTTTGGGGGGGGAGAGGGGGAGGAGGCTATGGATGCTGATTGGCGTGGGGGGGAGGACGGTGCCTGTATGGACCCGAATGAGTTGTAACCCCCCCTTTGCGGGCTTTGGCTCCCCAGGCCGGGGGATCGGGAAGAAGCTGATGAGTGAAGTGGCCAAGGTAAGATTTTACCCCCTCTCCCTCTGCCCCACCCCCCAGGTTCTCCCCCCAGCCAACCCCAACGAGGGGAGGGGATTGGCGCACGGGATTTGGGCTGGAGTGTCAGGGGATCAGGCACAAACCCCGCCCCCTTCTCCTTCTCCCCACCCACCCATGTCCCAGAGGGTGTGGGGCGCCCCCACCCGGGGTCAGCAGCGGGCCCTGGGGGATATGTTCTCAAGGTGCCACGCTCAATAGAGATGGATTAGGGCAATCTGGGATGGATTAAAATGTCTGGATAGGGATTAGGGGCAAATAGAGTTACCCTCGATTGGGGATAGATTACACAGTATGGATTGGGATTAGGGGTAGACAGGGGATAGATTAAGCTGTTTGGATTGGGATTAGGGGTAGATTGGGGACAGATTAAGCAGACTGGATTGGGATTAGGGGTACATTGGGGATGGATTAAAATGTCTGGATAGGGATTTGGGCTAGATAATGCAGGGTTAAATAAAATGGACTTGAATTAGGATTGGGATTAGGTTTAGACAAACACAATCTGGATTAATATTAGGATTTGATTTTTTTTTCTTGACTTGGATTATGGATAGTTAGATCAAGGGAGGGTTAGGAATATATTTATATAGCCGTGTCACGGATTTACAGGACTCTGCTCTCTCCCGGCTCCGCACGGTCCCTGGAGGGGGGAACAGCCCTTTTCGGGGGTCCACTCTCTCTCGGGGGTTCCACCTCCGGGAACCGCACCTCTCCGAGCCTTAGCACGCCCGTCTCTCACCTTGGGCCCGCTCAGGGAGTCCCCTCGCTCTGGACCCCCGGGGCCCCCACTCCCAGAGGGAATAATGCCACCCCGTTCTCTAGCCCGGAGCGACTCTCACAGGAGGGTTTATTGAGCGTCTTGAACCCAGCACAGGAAACTCTCCGGGCCCTCGGGCCTAGCAACCCCCATCTCCAGGCCGTTGTCTGGGGTCCCGGCTGCCAGGTGAGGTCACACCTGGTCCTCTGCAACCACAAACCCTCTCCCACCACCTTGTTAAACAGGCAGCACATGGGGAAACTGAGGCACGGGGGCTACTCATGTAAAACACTCCAAAAATCCCCAACTTCGTCACTGTAGTCGGGATTCAGGATGACAGGGCTCAATAGGAAGCTAATCCGGATTGGTATAAGGGATAGAGAGTGGAATCATTTGGGTTATGTTGAGTGTAGGATTTGGGACATCTGGATGAGGATTAGGGTTAGATTGGTATCTAGAGTGGGATTATGATTAGGATTAAGAGGGCCTGGATTGAGATTAGGATGTTATGGGGTCTGGATTAGGATTAGACAGGTTGGGATTAGTATTAGGTGGGTCTGGATTAGGATTAGACGGGGCTGGATTAGCTTGGTGGGATTAGTCCATGCATTGAGACTGGATGCGCCTTCCCTCTGACCCAGAACCAGGCCCCCCACCTTCCAGTCTCCCCCCCATGTGGTGACCCACCCCTCCCCGGTTGCTGCAGGTGGCGCTGGCCCGCGGCTGCGTCGAGATGAAGTTCACGGTGGCGGAGTGGAACGTCCGGGCCCTGGCATGGTACCGGCAGCTCGGGGCCCAAGACAAGACGGAGGCGGGCGGCTGGCACTGCATGGAGCTGGGTGGCGAGGCCCTGCACAGGCTGGCAGGGGACAGGCGGTGATCCGGGGCCAAGGGGAGCC